GGCTTTAGGATTTAGGCTTTAGGCTTTAGGGTTTAGGGCTTAGGGTTTAGAGGGTTCTAAACCCTAAACCCTAAACCGTCAGGTTTAGGGTTTAGAGGGATCTTGCATCAGGGCTCCTTAAGATGAGGCTTCGCTGAGGGCTCCTTCATAAAGCAAAAGGTTCCTTTGAGGGTTCCTTCCCAGAGAGCCCAATAACCCTTGAAAAAGGAATATAGCTTAAATCTTAATATGAAGCCCCTTATAGTTTAAGCCACCCTAAACCCAAAACCCTAAACCCTGAACCCCAAACCCTAAACCCTAAACCCTACACCCTATATTCCTTAATTAAGCTCTATTCCTTAGTTAAGCGGTCCTGGGCTCTCTGGGTTAATACAGGGATGGCTCTTTGATCTGAGCTTTCCTTGGAGTTTTTTTCTCGAAGTTCCCCCAGCTGTGGTAGGAGCATCCTCGAGGGGCTGGGGGTTTAGGGGGCTTAGGGTTTAGGGGGTTTAGGGTTTAGGGGTTTAGGGGTTTAGGGGTTTAGGGTTTAGGGTTTAGGGGTTTTGGGTTTAGGGTTTAGGGGTTAGGGGTTTAGGGCTTATGGGGTTTATTTGAGGCTCGGGCTTTGGGTTTAAGGCTCATTGGGCTTATTTCAGGATTCTTTGCTCGAAGAATAAGGGCCTTACAGTCAAAGGAAATTACAGGTGGGGAGTTTAGTGTATATGGGGCTTCTATAAGGCTTCCATAAGGTATATAGACCTTCTATAAGGCTCCTCTAATGGTAACTACCCACCTGACAATGTCCTAGATACAGGGGTCCTGGATAGGGGCTTGTGGATCAAAAGGCTCGCTAAAGGGTCAGCAGGCGTCCTTGCTGTGGGATTTTATCTAAGGGTTCGTTAATTGAAAGGCTCTTCAAGAGGGGTGTAGGGTTTTAGGAGTTTCCAGTGTAAGGGGGTTGTCTCTACGTGAGGTTGTAGAACTTTCTGTATGTTGGATATTGCTTATCATATTTTGCTTTGGGGATTTCTTGTGAAGCTTCGGATTCAAATGTTTCACTGGGCTTAAACACCTTATAAGACTTAGACTGGTGAGGGTCGCCGGAGCAAACATGCAAAAATCTAGACCTTGGATTCACAACATCAAACCCTAAACCCTAAACCCTAAACCCAAGACATTAAGACGCATGCTACTGGGGAGCCTGATCTTGTGGCCCTTTATTAGAGTGAGTCTCTGAAACAGGGGTCACACAGTAAGGTTCAGACCTGCATATGTGTGTGTGTGTGTCTGTGCGTACTTTTCTGGTCTCTGGCTTGGGATTCAGGGCTCGTGACGAGCGTAAGAAAAAAAGCTCGGTGCTTAGAGCTTGAAGACCTAAACCCTCAACCCTAAACCCTAAACCAACTCTAGCCCCTAAACCCTGAACCCTGAACCCTACACCCTAGCCCCTTAACCCTAAACCCTAAATCCCAAACCCTGAACCCTGAATCCTAAACCCTAAACCCTAAACCGTAAACCTTTAAACCCTAAATCCTAAACCCTGAACCCTAAACCCTAAATCCTAAACCCTAAACCCTGAACCCTAAACCCTAAACCCTTAAATCCCTAAACCCTTAAATCCCTGAACCCTAAACCCTGGACCCTAAACCCTAAACCCTAAACCCTAAAAACCTAAACCCGAACCCCCCAACGGATGCAGACACAGAGCCGTCCGGATGATGCGCACCGTCCGCACGAGGCCTGAGCTCTCGCGCTTCAAAGACGAATAAAGGGCTTAGGGTTTAGGAGTTTAGGGTTTAGGATTTAGGGTTTTAGGGTTTAGGGTTTAGGGGTCTAGGGCTTAGGGGTTTAGGGGTTTAGGGGTTTAGGGTTTAGGGTTTAGGGGTTTAGGGTGTAGGGTTTAGGGTGTAGGAATTGGGGTTTAGGGATTTATGGTTTTGGGGTTTTAGGTTTTAGGGGTTTAGGGTTTAGGGGTTTAGGGTTTAGGGGTTTAGGGGTTTGGGTTTCGGGTTTAGGGTTTGTGGTTTAGGGTTTAGGGTTTTAGGGGTTAGGGTCTGGGGCTTTTGGGCTTAGGGCTTATAAGGTTTAGGGA